AATGCCGTAAAAAATTTTTTTTAAAAAATATATATTGTTAATCCTCATCCAAAGATAATTTTTTCCATTGATTTTTAGAGAGAGTGGAAGGGAAGGGGAGAGACAGAGAGAGAGAAATGTCAGTGTGGGAGAAACACATCAATTGGTTGCCTCCCACACTTGCCCTGACTGGGGCTGAGGATTGAGTTTGCAACTGAGGTACATGCCCTTGACCAGACTCAAACCCCAGACCCTTCAGTCCGAGGGCTGATGCTTAACCACTGAGCCAAATGGGTTAGGCCTATTAGTTGCTCTTTTGCATGGAAAATATTATCATGGTGGTATATACCTGACAAAATACAGAAGTATTTACCTCTGATCTCACTAAACAGTACAACTATTATTACCATCTTCCCCTTTTCCATTAGTCTTTCTCTGTAGCAGCACCTTTTTGTGTTTCCATTTTGGTCATGTAGCTTTGTCTCCTGCCTTTCCCACACTGGTTTAAATTGTCGCAAGCGCCTGTGGGCCTTTCTAGTGACTGCAGTACATGATCCCTGCTGTGGATGCAGCATCCCTCGTTCACCGCTTTCTTCTGGTTTCAGCGTTGGGGTTGCTTCCACCTTTTCACTATGATAAATAGTCCTGCAATGCACATGTTTCTGCAGAGAACTTTTCTATTTCCCTGAGCTACTACCTTGGATTGATAAGTCCCAAGGAATGAGAACAGGGTGTGAAAGGATGTGAGCAATTCTATGACTTGCCAGGTTTTGCCAAATTGCTTCTCCATGAAGTGGTGCACTTTGCATTGCTTTGGTGACACTAAGTGGATGTTACCTCGTCCTCCACAAACTGAAATGTTCTCACGTGTTAATCCGGTGAACTGAAGCCCCTGGAGGGAAGTGCTTTTCAGAAGGTCACGAGTCACCTACAGCCTTTGGGTGAGATCCCTGCTCTCAGAGCACAGTTTGCGGCACTACAGACACTCTGTGCCTGAATTCTGTTTCATTTTTAAAATTTATGATTATGATGATGGTGATGATGATGATGATGATGTGTGTGTGTGTGTGTGTGTGTGTGTGCGTGCCTGAATTCTGGAAGGTGCTGTGTGTGCATCCAACTTGCCTTCTTGCTAGAGTGACCCATTGTCCTGGCTATCTCATACCTCCCCACCACTGCTTTACTTCTGAATCTTCCCTAGTTACCCTTCCCTAGTGACCCTGTCTACCAAGCCAGGTGCCCCTGGACCCTGGAGTCTCTCCCCTTGGGACTGGCCTTTTGTTGCTCCTGTGCCTGTGGTCTCCTCCTAATGGGCAGTTTGAATTGTTTACTTAATCATGTGGTCTCAACAAATGAGCCTCTTTGGGGTCTGAGCAGTTCTTTGCTGTTTTAGTTTTCTCATTCTATTTTTTTTGTTTCTACTAATTTGTAAATTCTTCTTCTTATATACATATATATTTTTGACTGAGGATCCTAATATTTTAGTGTGTGTACTTAAAGTCTAAAGTAAACCAATGCCTGTACCTAGAGATGATACTGAATGGATTTAACTACTGGAAGTGTGCTATAATCCTATATAATAAAAGGCTAATATGCAAATTGTCTCCTTGGGAGTTTGACTGGGAGACCTGGAGTTTGATCACTCGCTATATGTGCACTGAACGTCAAATAACTGTTAATCAAGAATTGCAGCCACAGAAAAATTATTGCTGAGGGACCCCACCTGTGCACGAATTCCTGCACCAGACCTTTAGTTCTATCATAATTAAAGTTCCTGTCTGAATCATGATTTGACATGGGGAACTGAATCAGGCTCTTCCAACTTTCACATTAAATTGATAGACATTAGTTCTGTGGCAGCCAATGTCATCTGGGGTGCATCTGATGCCACTCATGGCCTGGACTGGAAAGCCTGTGTTGCCTCAGCCTGCACATGTGCAGCCCATTACTTGACTCTGTGGCCAACACTGGCTGACGTTGGCAGGTCACTTGTGGTCTCAAAAAGTGGAGAATTTCTCTTTCCTGATCAGGATGGAAATATTTTAGCATTTTAACCCAGAAGGCAGTTCTAATGCGGCCTTCACCCTTCTTGTGAATTATACACTAAGTCCTTTGTATTTTTTAGCACGCTACTTGCTATTTCTGTTGACATTTTAGTTTTCTCCCTCTCTTTAAAATCCCCACACATTAGACATTATTACTGTTGCTTTATCCAGTCATTGGTTTGTTAGTTTTACCCAGTTGTGTGTCAGTGTCTTTGCTGATTATTTCATCTTGTACTGCACACCTTCTGTATGAGATAATTTTTCTTTTGCTTGAGTTACATCCTTTAGGATTTCCTTCAGTAAGTATTTGTGGAAAGATATCTTGGTTTTAGTTTGTTTTAAAATGTCTAATTTACCTACTTATTAAATAATAATTTTTTGTGGTTGTAATTCTTGATTAACAGTTATTTGCTTAATACTTTGAGGTTTTCATTCCATTGTCTTCTGTGGCCTTCTATTGTTGCTGTTCAAAATCAGTTGTCATCCTAATGGCAGTACCTTGCTCCATAATCTTTCTGCTGCTGTTAAAACCTGCCCTTAGATGTCTGCATTCTGTAGATTCACTTCAGTGGGTCTGGTGCTGATTTCTCTCTGTTTCTCTTTCCTGCTTTGAATTTTTGGGATTTCTCCTTCTTACAGCAATTATAGAAATTTCTTGGAAATTCACTCTTTGAATATTACATTTTCCATTCTCTCTATAATATCTTTCTAGAATTCTTTTCTTATCTATACTTTATCATATTTTCTGTCTATTTAGCTTATTTTCAAACTTGATTTATCATTTTTATTTTTTAAAATATTTTTATTGATTTTAGAGAGGAAGGGAGAGGAATAGAGAGATAGAAACATTATGGATGAGAGAGAATCATTGATCGGCTGCCTCCTGCACGCCCCCTACTGGGGATCAAACCTGCAACCCAGGCATGTGTCTTTGACTGGAATCGAACCTGGGACCCTTCAGTCCGCAGGCCAATGCTCTATCCACTGAGCCAAACCGGCTAGGGCTGATTTATCATTTTTAGTGGTTTATTGTTTCTTGCTCATATTTTAAGGACTATTTCATTAAGCATAAGAGACATACTTATTTTGCATTCTCCTTTTGATAATTTAAATGTTTGAGGTCTTTTTAAAAAAATATGGAACGCTTCATGAATTGGTGTGTCCTCCTTCTGCAGGGACCATGCTAATCTTCTCTGTATCGTTCCAATTTTAGTGTATGTGCTGCCGAAGTGAGCACTGTCTGAGGTCTTTATGGGACTGATATCTGGTTGAGGTTTCTGTTGGTTTTCAGTGCTTCTGAGGTTTTGATTGTGAACTTCATATTTTTTGGAACTTTTCTGTGGGAAGTCTTTGG